AAGGAAACAAAGAACAATATATTTGTCCGATATTCTAACTAGTTAACATAGAAATATCTGTCTATGGTAAAACAAAATAACTAGACAACTAAACAATGTTTAAATGTTGATATTTCTTAACATTTTAATTCATCTCTTGTTAACATCTTCAAATGTTAATTTATAAATTTCCTACATTATTCTTTCATTTTCATGCTAATAGATTGTTCATGAACTTGGTACAATGAATGTTCTAAATTTGTTTAACCAATATGCTTATGACATTTTTATTTACTTTTTTTAAATAAAAATACATAAATTGTTTTTGTTCATTTTTAGGTCAAGGTATTAGATGTTTAAATGTGTCACTATATGACAAACAGGTATTTGTTTAAGAAGTTTATTGGTTTAATAATTTAAGAGGTTATTCGTCATAATTGAAATTTTTCATAAGTTTACGTTCATATTAATTAATAGTAATGGATGGGAAAGATATACTGCAAAAATGAGAAATATATTATATGCAACATAGGACTGTAGGAAAATTGAGTCATGTTGACCATAAGACCGGATGTTACTCAATTCAGCGATGTGTATAATCTGGAAGCGTTGAATAATAGGTTAAAACAGTTATTCGTTATTTCTTGTCTTATAAAAATTCTCGAACTGATGTCACCTCACTATCAATCTGTTTGTAATTTATGTATTTATTTATATGGTGCACATTTAATTGACCGATTCACGAATTATGTAAATTCAAAAATGAAATTGGTTCTTGGAATCGGTTTATCGTACTTTTTGTCAAAGTAGACATACAACTATGAAAATCGTAAAACAGTATTTTAGATGCGATTAATTTCCTTACTATTTGAATAACTGCAATCTTAGGAGAATTCATCATTTTTTGCAGATTCTTCTAAGCTCTTAATAATTTGGAAATAATAGTACTAATTATAAGCAAAGATGGATAGTGGCTAGCAGTGGAATTCAGGACGTGAGTTTCGTCCTATTTGGGACTCGTCAGATGGATGTACCTGCATCTCAGAGTTGATGTTCACTCTGCGACTCCAACCCAGTACCACTAGCTTCAAACGCCATCGCGTAATCCACTTAGCTACTGAGTCCTGATAGCCATTAGCTTGTGCAATGGGTTGTAGTATAAATTCACTTGGTATAGTTTTGCTTGTATCTTTCCATCTTTGTTTATGAAAGCTTGTGAATTAAGGCACTATCGAGGCATACTCACATTATGCACATATACTAATAAGAGACTGATCGATTTCAGTCTTAAACCTCAGTGGGACGATTCAAGTAAAACAATAACAAGTGAATTAAACTTCAAACCATTGCACAAGCAAGCGACTATCAGGACTCAGTAGCTAAGTGGATTACGCGATGGCGTTTGAAGCTAGTGGTACTGGGTTGGAGTCGCAGAGTGAACATCAACTCTGAGATGCAGGTACATCAATCTGACGAGTCTCAAATGACACGAAACTCGTGTCATGGATTCCACTGCTAGCCACATACAATCGAAACATGAATCACGCAAATATCTTGAAACCGTTTACCATTTGAATGGATTGAATTTGTTTTTCATACCATGGAGTTTCACTAATCAGCGACTGAGCGTGAGAATTTATAAATTAGATAATGGCCATTATAGTTTGACGCAAACGTCCGTCGTATAAGTTTTTGATAAGCCATACAAATAATGTAACATGAAAGCTCAAGACTTACTCTTGTTGTATGTAATATTTAAGTTTATTTTTTTTCTTCAAAAAGTGCCTTTATGCTTTCTTCCTCCGGACTATTATTCAAACTATTTCTAGTGCTATCAATTTAGATCTTATAGACTTGACTTCTTATGAATGGGTTAACGAGTTATTTGATTTGATAATGTTCATTCGATCATTTGCAACTTGCGTTTGTAAAACGTCGGCCTAGTTATCAAATTTTCTCCATGTAGTACTAACTGAATTGGCTGATTATCAACTTTTAATTATCCCTGTGTGGCGCTTTGAATTTTCTGTGTTAAAAAATTTTCTAATTGGAAGCTCTTTTGTCAAAGTTCATTTGGTTGTTATTTCAGTAGCATTTGCACTTAATTCTTTATCTGCAATTGTTGTGAACTTTCTATTTTCTTGAAAATTAAATTAAAAACTAAATAGATTGTTGCATCAACTCCCTAAATTCCTGCACATTACTTCACAAAGCTTAGAAAACGTCGAACGCATCTAACTTTCATAAAGAAAGTTTTCTTTTTCGTCTTGAGGAGAGAAAGATCAAATATTTGAACAAAACAGTGTGCTTTTGTTTCATAACTTTTGGTTCACGTCAACCGCTTACACCCAATAATAATTAAAAACCAAACAGAATAATATGAATTCATGTTATTCAACTCAAATCTTCATTCTTATTTCACAGTTTGTTCACTACACTAATTACTACTTAGGTTGTACAAATAATATACTGGACTTTGCTTGTAAGTGATTTGCTAGTTCTTAAAAAGGCAATAAATAATCAGCAAATCAGAATGACAAATAATGAACGAGTTAAAAGTGGGATTATTGGAGTAATTAATGTTTTTATTATTATGACTACCAAGTAAACTGAATTATATAACCAAATAGTCAAATCATAACAATGATTATGGAATAACAAAAAGGATGAATTTGTAAGAATGATCCATTAGTTGGAAGGAGGTATAGTATGCTGTATATACTCTAACCAAAACATTTGATAATGGTAATTGTTTACGGCAATGGAATTGATTGAACATACGTCTTGTGAACAGGTTGGAAACAATTTCATGTAGTATGAAAAGTAAACTTATATCTAGAGCCTAGATTCTTATTATACCGCGTATGACTTGAGCACTCGATGCTAGAACACTCTCAAGTCGAAAATGAGAAGACGGAAGACAATTGAAAGGAATGTTATTCCAAACAGTGTCAATTATGGTACAAACTGTCAGGTATTTATAGTTTTTAGTTAAAACGAAATCATCATTATAGTCCTCCGATATGTCGTTGTCTACTTGTTACGCGGTCAAATAGCATTATTTGGTTTAAAATTAATTTTCATCATGTTGTGGTGCATTTATCATAGGTCCTAGTGTTTTTACGAACTCTTCAGTAGTCAACGTTGACAATCTGAAACAGCAAACACAATCTTCAAAATTTATAATAATTCCCGATCCGATCATTTCAAAATAATAATAATTATTAGTCAGTAACTTGTTCACTATTCCGCTATCTCCTTTAAAGTTATTACGTTTTAACGGTGATTTCTAAGCATATAAGTTTTAAAACAGCTTATGACAAATGTTATTCTCATAAAGACATAAAACGAACCAATTTTCTCTAGATGTTGTGTATTCATGAGCTTGAAATCTTATGTAACAATTGCTCTACCAGATTTGTCTCCATGGATATTTTCACTCTATTTTTGTGTGTAGTATACTAGTCTTATCTTTGAACTTAAAAATAGTTGAAATAAATCGTATGTATATAAGCAGAAAGTTGTAAATCAAAGTTTAGGAAAAATATGAGAACGGTAGTCATACACAACTATATACCATAAGTACTTTTAAAAAGGTATTCATTAGAAACTGTCACTTTGCTAGGGTTGAAGCTATCACGAGTTCACTTCGTCTACGAACGAGAACAAAGACTCAGTGACCAAAGACCAGTAAGCTAGCTATTTGATGTGTCCCAGCATCGCTAACTAGAGGGAAAAGTCCAAGCTTGGAGTGGGGAAGTATATTCTGCAAACAGCCAGAAACGAGCGGTCACAACAAACAATTCAAAATGTATATATACAGTACAAAACCGTCCTTCGGGAGAGTTACCAAATAGCATACTAAAAGACGCAACGGACCGATAGCATTTAAGATATTTCCCAGCGGGAAGTGAGACATGAAGGTGACAAGAGCGCCTTTGGTGCGAAAACAAAGAAATTCAAATTTTCTAAATAAAATTACAAAATTAGGTTCTTTCCCAAGTGAGTTCTGGGGATCTAACGTTCCCAACACAATTTTGTTAAATTAAAACAATATTCAGTTAAATTTATTAATATCTCAAAAAATAAAACAGAAAAAATTAGTTTCATTATTTTACTTTTCTTGGCACAATAACTAATATATTACACTCAATTTATTTATAAACACCTAGTTCCAACTAGCAACCAATCACAGATGATGTGAACTAAAACTTATCAAAATGTGAATTATAACTTTTTGTTTTATTTCCTATATATATGTATATATGTGTTTGTCTTTTAGTTAATACATTTTAATTCCTCCTATGAAAAAATGCGTGTACTGTGTTCCAATAAAACTGCTTTTAACTTATTTTGTTGTGTACTAACTAGTATAGTTGACATTTTTAAAGATAAAGTGTGGCAACGAGAGAAAAACAAAAGAAAAGAAAAAGATATCTGAAGATATAATCTTGAATGTTTATTTCTATTAAGGAAAAAATAGTCCGAATATTTAGAGAGTGCTGAAGATAATGAGATATTATATATATACTTAAAGTTTTATCGGATACAATGTCCAATGTTTATAAATCTCAATATCGTCATCTAAATTACAACTTGTAAAGTTATCTTCTTTTATATATCATGTACATGCTTCTTATATAAAAAAAAGATGTTGTATATCATATAGTATAAATTAAGTACTCATTCTATTCATTATGTATATCTGAGGATTTACTACATACTCTATGCACTACATTACAGTTTTCTTAGAGTACAATTACATACAAAACAAATGATATAAATTAAATCAGTTCAAATCCTACTACTTACAAAATTACATGTATATTCAAATTTTATGATATAACTTACTACTTATCTAATTGAATAAATGATATCTAGTGATGGAAAAGATTGTTAATGATAATCAACAAATTCTCTGTAAATAAATTAGGGATTATTTCTTTTAAGGATAAAGTATGATTTCATTTTAAAAGAAAGAAACTTAACAAATCATGGTTAACTTCCAAATGAAATAAAACATGTATTTTTCATTGTCCGTTTCAATGAGGATATTCATTTATATTTTATTTTTGTTTGGTAAGTTAATGATTACCAAATTATTAATTAATTGTTTTATTTAAATTAACATTTCTTTATGATATATCATCTAGCTGAACTTGGTATTTGAATAAAAAAACTGGGATAATTTTGTTTAACAATGTCACTTTCTTGAATAATTAAGTCATCAATGAAGCTGAATGCGGACAAATATCAAATCAATAGACTCATATTAGTGGAATTAACGTTGTGCTAAGCAATCTATAAGGGATAGTTTTTAATCAAGACTTAACATTACAAACGGAATAAAGTTTCAGAAGGGGTTTTGTGGAGATTGTAGTAATTTCAACAGTTTGGATCATGAGTCGATTGGAGCTAGACTACCATGAAAAATCTGGAAGCACTTGACGACCGTTTCGTTTTATTGTGGGACTCCTCAGCATTGCGCATCCACGACCCCGCCTCCTGGACTTCAAGTGAGAAGTAGTGATCAATGGACTTCGGCCGGGTCAGTTGTGAGGTAGTAACTCACTGATGACAATGATGGATGTGTCTCTAGATTTCGAGGATTAGTCGAAGCTAGACATTTACACCGTTGGATGTCGGCTCAGTGATCTAATTGGTTAAGCGCCTGGCGCGAGACTCATAGGTCCTGGGTTTGAATCCCGCAAGGCGGGGTCGTGGATGTGCACTGCTGAGGGGTCATACAATAGAACGAAACGGCCGTCCAAGGCTTCCAGGTTTTCCATGGTGGTTTAGCTTCAATCGACTCATGATCTCAACTGTTGGAATGAAGTTTATTTGTATAGCATTCTTTCACACGTTAAGCAAACAATGTGATCAGTATGAGATAACACACTAGAATGGAATCTAAAGGATATTAAATATCTAATACAGTAGACGTTCTAATTTAGTTAAAAGGCACTGATTACGAAGCGTGATATAATCAAGGATTTTTTTGAAAAGCTCATATTGTCATTCATGGGAATAAAGAAACCTTTGGAAACAGTACGTATTTATGATTATGATTATTACGGAAGTTGGTTTTTTATTGTTTGTTAAATGGAATTACGAAACTGATGATGCATATACATTATAAACCTACAGTCAAACACATTATTTTAAGTCCAGCTTTTTTTCTATCCTATATTACTAAACTCATATTCAGTTGATTATATGTACGGAATGGAAACGTAAGTATATCAAGCAGCAATCATTATTTTATCTAAAACCGCTTACACACTGATTTATTCCATAAATCTTCAAGTTTATTGACGTAATCTACCTGAAATAAAGCTAAAAATAGTAGTAAAACCCAAAGTATCCCTTAAAATATGATAAACTACATTCTCAATACCTTATTACAAAAAGACTTAAATAGCCTTATTTTTGACAAAAACATATTTTAATAAATCTTAAAACCTTAACAACAAATTTTGTTGGGGAATAAAATTGGTGATATGATTTGGTTGTCGACAAAGAGACTAATTTCATCTGCATAAAGTATATCCATCCTTTCATTATATACATTTAAAAAGTTCCGACACACAAATATTTCAAAATATTTAGGTATTTAATGGCATATCAACTTTATCGTTGTATCTAAATTTCTTTACATTCTTATAAACTATATATATACACATATATAGTTATTTTTGACACTTTCAGTGCCGAAAGGAATTAGTCGACTGTTATTATAACTTTTCTATGCACAAACATCAACCACACAAACTGTTTCAAATTTAGAATTTAAACCCGAAAGTTCTTTTTTAAAAGGGTTTAAACTTAGTGCATCAGAGACATTAGCTAACTATGATGATAGACATTAGGTTTTATCAATTTAAGGTTGTAAGAATTATCCAATTTCCTTAAAATCACGACCCAGTTTAAGTTAGATAACCAGTGAAAAATTGGGAGGACTAGACATCCGTTTTGTTCCATTAAGTAACTTCTCATCAGTACGCATCCAAAGAGTCAAACCTAGCACCTCCGTATTTGCGCGCGAATACTCATTTTTCAAACTTTTTAGATGGGATACAACAGTATACAAGTCTGGTTTTAAGCAATTCGCGCAGACCCGAAAGTCTAGGGCTCGATACCTTATTCGTGCATCGTGAGTGTTCAGTCCCACAATGGAACGAAACAAGTGTCCACTTCTTCCAGGATTACAAAGGTTATCTAAATTATGAGTCCTGATTATTCGTATTTGAAAAAAATAATAAACTCTGACTTTAATCAAATCATCGGGTTAATATGATTTTTTGTCTAAATAATACAGTGATTATGAGTTAGATAGGCTGCCATAATAAATAACAGTTTTCAATAAATACTGGTCTAAAGAAATGTTTTATGACAGAATAAAACTAGTTCTCATGGCAAAATAATTCGAAATGGTACGTCGAATAAATTCACTTGCTGTTATTCGCATATATCTTCCCATTGACGTTTGGGACTGCAATTGATCAGTTTCTTGTCGACATATGTGCATCCTGTACGGATTGCCTCGATATTCCCTTAAGCCACGATAATTGTAAGCAAAGGTGGATAGTGGCTAACAGTGGAATCCAGGACGCGCGTTTCGTCTTATTTGGGACACGTCAACTGGATGTGCCTGCATCTCACAGTTGTTGTTCACTTTGGAACTCGAACCCAGTACCATTTGCTTCAAACGCCAATGCGTTATCCACTTAGTTATTGAGTACTGTTAGCCACATGCTTGTTCGCGTCCCAGACTAAACATCAACTCTAGGATGCATGTAAATCTATCTGACTGGTCCCGAATACGTCAAAACACACGTCCTGAATTCCACTGCTATTCACTATAGATCTTTACTTATAAATGTATTTAGAATAATTGTGACTTTCTAAATGAAAGTCAATAGAACTTAATTTAAATAAATTTTTAATAAATAATTTAAACAAGACTTTCAATGATAATTAATTTTTCACTTTAATTTCATCACCTTAATTAAGAAAAGCTCATCAGAAAATATGCAAACTAATTTTGCATCTATTTAAACCATTTAAATTAGCTAATATTTTATGTTGCTTTTGTAGTTAATCAAAAAAAAAACACAAACAAAGAATCAACTTTTGTTACCAACTGAAATTCAAATGTCTCTTGTTACTTTTTTCTCTTTTTTTTTGTTTTTTTCTCATGTTTTATTAAAATAACAATCATAATTAAATTCAAGCAATGCTAATTGTAATTGTAATTTGTAGTATTGCCTAAAGAAATTGTGCCATTTTTGTTGATGAATTTACGAGTAAAAACAAAATCGTTTATATAAAATTTTTTAGATTTTCATATAAAAATTCCTAAACAACATTGATAGTGATAATAGTTACTAATTGTTTATTTAATTGATTAGTTAATTAGGAACTCCCCTACTTAAACGGTATGATATATTACAAATAAATCAATAATGTTTCCTTATTATTAGATCATTTATCAATAAGAATGATGTAATCTTGACTTAAAACGTCTATACTGACTAGTATTGGTTTAAATAAGTAAGTAACTAAATAATAGATACAATTCAGCAAATATTAATAAAATAGGCCAATTATTATAAGTTTTACAATCTCTTTTGGAGTGTAGTATAAATATAATTGGATATTTGCATGTCTAGACATTTAAATTATAGCCTTTGCTAGCATCAGTTACTTACGGTTTGTGCTTACTTAGTATAGGCGTGTCATCTGAATAAAGTTGTCATGTTTACTCAATCAAACAAAAAATCAGATTTGATTTTTTTTAAACTTTCTAGTTTATAGGAAAGTTATTATACCGGAAGAACAGTTTGCAAGGATTTATTGATTTCAACTCTTTATTAATAGTCATATTTAAAATATCTAGATAGGTGGGTAATCTACAGTACGTCTAAATATGACATGGATTTTTTAAAATTGGAATCTATTTATAGTACCGATGGAATATGATGAGAAGCATGTGAGAAAAACTTACAATGCTATTATAAAATAATAACAAACAAACACCTTTAATATGAACTATAATGAGCATTTCATATAAAGTAGTAACTAATGGTTTGCACTTTTATTTTAACTTGTATGTTGCCAAAAATTCAAAAAAGCATTGTAACTACTGGACATACATTTGTGGTAAAAAGGCTCATTGGTGACATGCAGTTTTATGTTACTTTAGTAAATAAAACTGACTAACTGACGACTTTCCAAGTTATAGATACTAAAAATTACAGTTTCAAGATGATATTGGAAATTTGTTTTTTCTCCTTTTGTTAAACAATGAAATCAATCTACATCAATGTAAAAAGCATGATTCTTAAACATTGAAGAGCATTGGCAAAATATATTACAAGGTCCTATATCAACATATTGTATACACGTTACATTAAGTATATCGGTAATAAAAAATACGCATCATTATTCACAACTGAAACACACAATTTCAAAAATAGATAGGATCTAACAGGTACGTTTCGTTCCATTCAGGACAACTCAGTTGGATGTACCCATACACAGGTAAGTGCACAGGTAAGTGACAATCCAAACTAAGAAGGTTAGCGAATAATATATTGATTTTTAAATTAAAAGGTACTGAGTGTAAGAATAAACATTAGGATGCAGAACATATGGCTGACGAGTCCAAAATATTGTACAGTGTGGATTTCAGTGTGGAGCAAAAGTCAATCTGTTGTAGTAAACGTGTAACGAATTGACAACATAGATGACATCTGCACAGGATTTATATATGATAACAGATACTGATCAATATACAATATTGTTTATTAATAACAGCATAATTCGAATCATTTTTAATAATCATACAAACAATTTAAAGCGAGATGAAATTATGTTCAAGAGAGGATATTGGTTGTTCAAAATTCAATACCAAACATTACTATTTCCTAGAAAATGGAAGAGTTATTTTAGCAAAGAAATAAGTGCTTTGACACTTTTTATAATATAGGTATTAGGTGATAGAGAGAAATTCGCTGAGAGAAACTTAACTTCTTGTTTAGCTTTTTTAATTGAGTGATATTTTCAGGAAGTCATTG